GAAATATTGTGTTAATTTATAAAATTTGTGTAATTATAATTCAGGGAAATATTTCAAATATCGTCACTTTATACAAATAAATTCATTTTAATTGTTTAATTGTTCTTCAATAATATCCCTGAATTGAACTTCAATTTTTTTAATAATTTTTTCTTGCCATTCTGTAATCTTTTGAGTCATTAGGTTGGAAATGAAACTATTGAATAGTCCTAAACCAGTCATTTCTATGTTGATTTTGCCAATTTCCGTCACTTGAACGTACTGTACATAGCATGGGTACTTTTTATGATCGATCATGAATAGTTTTACCGCTATTACTAATCCGTCAATAGTTACAAGTACATCACCACTAACTGTGATTGAGCCAACTGAAAGCTATGTATTAAGACAAATATTAATTTTGAAGAAAGTTGAATGTTTTTATACTTAATGTTTTGTAATCGTTAATATCTAATAATCTATGAACTTACCTTATAGTAATTATACTTAAGTTTAGCTGTAGAAAGTTTAAAGCCAGTTTCTATGGTATACATTTGTCTTTTGTTATCTATATTAGATATAATTACATCTTTCGTCATCATAAATAGTTTTACCGCTATTGCTAATTCATCAATAGTTACAACCATATCACCACTGACTGGGATTAAGCCAACTGTAAACTGTGTATTAAGACAAATATTAATTTTGAAAAAAGTTGAATGTTTTTATGCTTGCTTAATATTTTGTAATCGTTAATATCTAATAATCTATGAACTTACCTTATAGTAATTGTACTTAAGTTTAGCTGTAGGAAGTTTAAAGTCAGCTTCTATGGTATATTTTTGTCCTAAATTGGATATAAAAACATCTTTTGTTCTTTTCAGAGTCGAAATACCTCTAAAAAATTAATTATCCAATTGAAATAGATCATTTAATATTGTTGTATAAAAAATATACATTAATTTTCTGGATTGTATTAAGTGTATGAATAACAGTGCTTACTCGAAGGTTCCATTGTAAGATTCGAAATAACATGTGATTCCAAGTCCTATGTAGTAGGTTATTTCCTTTAAATTAGGAATGTAAATTATACATTCTGTATTCTGTTTAATGTATTTCATCACTACTTTGAGAAGAATATCTACGGGCACATTCATCTAATGAAACATGAAAATTTAAATTACTATGAATAAAATATAATTTATAAAATTAGTAAGAAAGTTAATAAAATTACTTCAACTTTCGAATTATTAGGATGGGTAGTAGCTACATTATATCCATATTTTTCACCTTTATGGATATTTTGATGTTGTTCTTCCATCGTCCTTATCCTCTGACAAAGATATTCTTTACACAAGATAGAGTATAATAAATAATCGTTTTTTCCACAATCCTATATTAGTACTAAAAGAAAGTATTCGTTTGCTTGTGTGATAAAGATAAATTTATTGTAAAATTTAAAACGACTGAAAAACATGATATTATCAGATCTAATTTAATTAAATATTGATAGATTTTATATATTATATAGGATGCGGACGTTCGAGCACAGTACTTCGCTGAAATGAGATAGCAGTATTTCTCGAAAAGACTTGAAGTTCAATCTATCCGAATATGATATCTAATGATAACTATCTCACAATCAGCTGGAGCGCGGCCTACTCAATGTAAATGAAGTGCAGAGATTTTTTCTGTATTGATTCGAGATCGCGTGAGAACGCTTTTCTTTAAAATACCGAAATTTTTAGAGGAAAAATTAACTTCAATTGAAATTGACAAAAATATTTATGATTTATAAAACTGAGCTTTAAGTCTCCTCGAAAAATATTGTTATCTTATTTCATCGAGCATCCGACTCGCTCGCATGCAGGGGTTCTCCGCGTGTGCCCCGAGAATGTGCCCAAACATCCGCACTCTAATTATATAATATATAACTATCTTGCAAAATGAAAAGTGCTCAATTTTCTACCGGTCATTATTTAAACGAGTATGGAGAGTTAAACTTACTTGGAGCGTACTGAGTTTTAAATGATATCACTAGCGTTCAAAGAAAGTTCTTTCTCTCTCTCTCTCTCTCTCTCTCTCTCTCTCTCTCTCTTTCTTGCGCTTAAGAGGATTCTATCCTGAAGCGCGTAATAAATGATATCATCTCTCATCTCATCTCTTTTTCTCTCTCTCATAATTATTTTGAAGTACAATAAAATTATTTTTAGATCTGTAAACTTTAGGTTTTTTTTAGCAAAATTATTCTTTGCAAACAATTAAGTCAGATTTTTAAAAATCTGATAGGATAATATAGCGCCATAACCCACATAAAAAATGGACTTAATTAATTTTTCTGAGATAAACTCCTTAATTGTACTTTGACAGAAAATTGTAAAAATATATACGTACTCTTTTAATTTTATTAATTCCATCATCAAAATAGAAAATGGATAGAAGTACTCTTCATTTTTGTCTCCAATTATATTTCAGAAATAGTACACACTTTATTATAGAGCAGTAAACGGAACGTCTTATCTAGACGAAAGCTTAGCAAATACTGAATTCACATATACATCAAGAAATAAGTTTTACTTGCATTTAAGCTATCGATAATATAGATGTCATAGATTGTACATAAGATTGTAATTTCCGCTGTAATTTCTGTGAAATGCGCTTAAGGAATGACTTTTTAATTAAATCTTTTTGAAAAAGTTTAAGTAATCTTCCTCGTTATTCGCATTTTGGACGGTTGTAATGCCTATCTATAATATTTCCATACTATTGCGTATGCGTACAGTTCTCCAGATCATAAGATCCTAAGATTTCATTGCTGTTCCACGATTACATAAATTAGACAAAACGAGAAATCAGTATAATGAAATGACAAATATACATTATTAATAAATTTTGCTATAATGAGCTTGCGCAATATTTACAAAGAATTTTTAGTGCACATTATTTTAAAGCTAATTTTATTATTAGGAATATAACAGTGTATCTTATACATCTTCGTCGTCATATGAAAAAGAAATTTCTGCAAAAGATAAAAAGATCTAAAATCCCAATTAGGAATTGTTATAAAATTTGCATGGAAGCTTTGTAGAATAATCTGCTCATTTATATTTTTCTCTTAATAGGATTTTCCTTAGAAATCATCTTTGACGAAGGTACGGTTAACCAATGATGGATTCATCTAAAAAGGAGAATGGTGAGAAAGGAAAATTAAAAAAGGTTAAAACAAAAGTCAAAGGAAAAGCAAAAGTTAAGGTGGTTCTTTACACCTTATTAAATTTTTTTTATATAATGAAGTTGAAGTGCCGAATTTGACGTGTGCAAAATTCTAGGGTAAGTTAATGATTAAATAAGAGAGAAATTTTCGGCACTTTACTAAAGAGTAAAGTGCCGAAAATTTCTCTCTTATTTAATCATTAACTTACCCTAGAATTTTGCACACGTCAAATTCGGCACTTCAACTTCATTATATAAAAAAATTAGACATTTCTGTCGTAACTCGATTTACTAAAGAACCACCTTAATAAGAAAAATAAATTCCTAATGTTAACAAATTAAAATATAACATTAAAAGCGAAAATGGTGATAAAACTGAAGATGTTAAAATTAAAAAGAAAGATGATAAAAATAAAGGAAAACAAGATGACAGCTTATCATATTTATTAGAGCTAGAAATGCGAGCTTTCGCAATAACAATTTAATGTATAACAAATGTATTTTTAAATTACATAGACATTTTCTAAAAATTATACAGACAAATATATATATATTACTATATATGCTGCATAAAATAACATTTGAAAATAATAGAATTTTTAGATACAGGAAATTTTTTATTTACTACATAGTTAACTTTGCCATATAATATAAAGTCATTCTTTATATTTAAAAAATATCTAATTTTATAAAATTTTTGACGTAATAATTATTCACATGAAATAAAAAGCGAAAGTATTAATTGTACAAGTAATATCGTATTTTAAATTTGTATATCATATATATGTGGGCCTTTTTTCAAATTCGTGTTTATCTTTTGGTTTACTTAATATAACAATTTTTGGTTCGAAAGATTGTTTTAATTTATAAGGCTTGCGTGAGTATAATTCAAGGAAGTATATATATTATTTTTATAATTTTCACAAATGATTTCGCTTAATTGTTCCTCAGCAATATTCCTGACATTAACTTCGACCATTTTAACAATTTTGTCTTGCCACATTCTTGTCAACCAAGTCAATATTTTGGATGTCAAATTACTGAGTGGACCTAGACCAGTCATTTTTAGATTGATTTTGCCAAGTTCTGTCACTTTGACGTACTCCACATTCACGCCGCATGTTTTAGTGTAATCGATGACTAGTTTTGCCGCTATTCCTAATCCATCAACAGTTCCGAGTATTTTGCCACAGACCGTCATTAAGCCAACTTTAAGCTGTAATATTAAGGCATGTTAATTTAGATATTAAAAAAAAATCGAATGTTTTATATGCGTAATATTTTGTAATCATTGATATCTAATAATCGACGAAATTTACCTTGTAATAATTATATTTAAACTTAGCCGTGGAAAGTCCAAAGCCAGCTTGTACAATATGTGTTTGCCCTACATTGGATATAACTGCATTTTCCGTTCTTTTCAAAGTCGAGAGATCTCTGAAAAGTTAATTATCTCGCTGAAGTAGATCATTCAATAAAAATATTGTTCTACAAAAAATATATATTAATTTTTTTCGATTGTATTCGAGATAACGATGCTTACTCGAAGGTTCCATGGTCTGTTTCGAAATGACATTTCATTCCAAGTCCCATGTTGTATGTTTCTGTTACGTCAGGAATTTCAATTATAGATTTTCCGTTCTGCTTAACGTAGTTTATCGCTTTTTTGAGAAGAATGTCCACGAGCATGTTCATGCTTAACTGCACATGAAAATGTAGATTACTACGAATAAAATATGATTTATATATAAGAAAGTTAATGAGATTACATCAACTCTCGGATTGTTAGGACAAATAGTTCGGGCTATATTAAGTCCATATTCTTCGTATCTATTGATATTTTGAAGTTGTTCCTCCTTTATCATCCCTATTCTTTGACAAAGACGATCTTTGGCACAAGCTTGAACGTAATAAATAATTGCCTCTTCCACAGTTCTTGGTAGATTAGTGCTAAAAGAAAATGTCTGTTTGTGCGCGTGTGTGATAAAGAAAAATTTATTGTAAAATTTGAAACTAAAAAAATATGATTTTATAAAATTTAATTACTGATAGATTTGATATATTATCTAATAATTTAATTTATTGTCTATTATGTATAGGTATTATTTATGCCAAATAACTCTGTGCACAAGTTTATGTATTGATTAATTATTGGCTCTCATGAAATTATTATTATTTTAATTGTTTTTAATTATGCAATAAATTTTTTGTTACCTAATGTACAAATCTTATACTCCCGGGGAAATGTCTTTGTATTTTATTTTCGTAATAAAATTCAAAAGATTTCATGCCTTACCTGCCTTTGATATTCGTCGGTAAAAATAAACGACAGTCTTGGACTGCATAATCCTCCTTGCCTAGTTTCTGCAACGATGGAAAGCCGAGGATAATAATTATCAGACGAGAGAACTATAATTATCTTACAAAGCGAATAGTCGTGCTCAATTTTCTTCCGGTCGTTATTTAAACGATTATGGAGGCGATAAACTTACTTGGAGCGTACCGATTCCTAAAATGATACCACTAGCGTTCCAAGAAAGTTTTTCGGATAACTGTTTGGCTAATGGATATTCAGGTGACATATATCCTGAAAAATGTAATCCTTTTTTAATTAGTGTGGTGCGGCTATCGCGGGGTAAATAAAAGCAGAGTAATAAATTGGTGGACGTGAAAATGGATATTAAATTAATTATATAACTTGATCAGCTTAATCAGAAATTTACATATGTGTCAACAGAATTAATTCCTACTTTGTCATCAGCTTTCTGTTGGAAGCTTCAATCTTTACCGTAATTAGGTAAATAACTGCTTATTAATATACAGTAACGCATTAAAGTAATTAAGGTAAATACAGTTGATCTGATAATATAATAATTGAAAAGGAGACTACATGTTAAATTTTTTTTCCATTGAATAATTGATATTTACAGAAATTTAAATTGATGTATTTGCGTAGTTCTTGCTCGATTTAACATTTAAATTGATTCCCAATGGATTAATAGTTACCTTTGAATTCTATGAAGGTCTCGTCGAAGGCAACATTCACTGGTTTGATTTCGGGATAGGAGAAAATTCCGACGTGTGGGTTGTACCTGATTAATAATTCGGTGCCGTAAACAACATATTCGTTTTCGGTTATTTGGACCGTGAAACTGTCCGGCTGACTGCATACTAAGACAAACATTCAGGTAATAACAATTTTTACAGTTATTCGTGTGGAACCGCTCATATTGACGTCATGTAAAAAGGAACTTTGAGCGATAGTACATATTAGTCACGTCTAAGGTCGTTTTGTATATAATTTGACTTGTCATGACTGTTGTCAAGATAATTGGAACGGCCCTCACCTTCCAGCTATTTGTCACGTTGTGAAAGGCTGAGCGGAAACATTATTTTTACGTTATTCCGTTTAAAATGAAATTATCGTAATGTCGCAAACCTGACTCAATTACGCCTTACAACAAAGTTTTATTTCCGAGCAAATGTAAATCATCTTTTCCAATTTGCATCGGAATTTGTATGTATACGAATTATTAAATCTTGATAATTTGTACATACAAATCACGCTATTTTTTTCCGTTACTTATAATGAGCGGTCTGCTCTATGCCTTATTATGAATTATTTTTAACTTTATATTGCTCTATTTTTCACGGCGCGCAAAAGAGCGTTTACGAAAGAATATATTGCATAATGCTGCTGTATAGACACTATCAGAGATTTTATACATATATGATTGCGTGAAAGGTAAGAGAGAGAAAAATTGTATTATATATAATAAATGATTTATCGTACCACTTTATATTGTTCGATTAGCAAGATAGCGCGCTTTTTCACATTGAGATTTGATAACGTGATAACGTGATTTCCCTTTTATTTATCAGTCTTTGAGTAATTGAGGGATTTCCCTTAACTATATGGAAAGAAAATAATTATGTCGGAAGCTCTTATATTGAGTCTGCAATGTTGTAAAAATTTTGATATTCTATCAAACAATTTTTTCCACGTACTCTTTTAGTTGCTCTTTTAGTTTTATTAATTCCGTCGTTAAAATATAAAATGGATGGGAACATTTTCCAATTATGTCTCCAATTGTGTCTCAGAAATAGTGCACACATTATTAGAGTATAGTAAACGGAAACGTCTTATCTCAGCGAGAACATAGCAAACACTGAATTCAATTAATACAAACAAATGAAACAAGGCAATACTTGTATCTGAGCTAACATAGATATTATATAGATTGTACATAGATCGTAATTTGCGCTGTAATTTCTGTCAAATGACTTAAGGAATGGCACCTTTTAATTAAACCTGCTTTTCAAGCAGGTTTAAGGTTTTAGCGATCTCCCCCGTTGTTTCGCGACTCGGAAGGTTGCGGAAACGTACGTATTAATCTGCATATCATCGCGCGCATCGCGATGTAATTTTAAACCGCGCTATTCTCCCCAAGTGCAACATTACACGGCAAAGTGGCTAACGTTACGGGAAACCGAGTCGTGACGGCGCAATTTCCTTCGCGTTTATATTCCTAGACGAGGAACAAAAAGCCTCGCGGGAAAATCGCGCTCACGTGAGGCGGCCGGCAGAAGTAGTCCGCGCGAAAGTCGATGCACTTTTACGCGCGCGCGCCGGTAGTGATGCATAAGCGATCCTGTACACGATCGAGGAAGTAGCATAGAGTCGGTTGTAATGCGTAATCGTGGTTACTGCACTGCGAACAGCGTGCTGCACGGTGTATGATATTACAACACCACCGTGTGTGCACACGGCCCTCCGGATCTTCCCCAGGATTTCAAAGCTTTTCCACGAAATGAGGCATAAAACGAGAAATCAACGTAACAAGGAATAAGAAATATTATGAATACGAAATGAATAAGAAATATTATGATACGTTTTGCTATAGAAATCTGTGCAACATTTATATCGCTATCGATTTTCCTTTTTTCAATTTTTTCCCTCTTATTCTCGAATTAATTATTGATTGTGCGACAGACGATAAAAATAGATCCATTGTAATATTTCTTTATTCACTGCTGTTTATTTTCCTTTTATGTTTTATAATTATTAAACGCGAGTTGTCACATCTATATTATAATTATAATAAGATCGATTCAAGAGAATCCTCAAAAATTTGAAGATTATCTAAATGTATTATTTTATTATCAACGGATTTTTAAACGATGGTAAAACAAGTTCAATTCTTTGCTCTCCATCGCGTAATATGCAATTTGCTGGACTCTTTTGATGAAAGTTAACTTTATAACTTTGCTGCAGACAATAAAGTTACCTTAATGATGAATTTAACCGCACTTTTTGCGACGCATTTTATAAGAATTCTGGGAATTTGCCTTTAGATATTACGTAAGTGAAATTAAAATAACAACTTCGTCGAATTATTCCAGCCTATTTGTACCGTGCGATATTACTTACCTATCAGCTGCGACGGTTTTCCCGCGGATCGATGCATTGTTACCAGCGCAATTAGGAAAAACCACGCGGACCGACTAGAACTTCCAGACAATGCGACCATTTTCTGCAGTTTGAGATTAAATGCTCAAGTTGGAAGAGTATAAAACTGTGGCTTGTGGTTAACATCCGGCGGAACTTTGATCAGTCTTAAGTAAGCAGGAAAGAAGTAGATATGCGTGTTAGTTCTTTATTAGTAGACCGAAAAAATAAATTGAAACATTTCTACAAGTATATATCAATAGATCTGCTTTAAATCAAAGAATGTGATAACAATGTTATAACGATTTTCAAAAGAGAAAAGAAGGAAGAGATTATACTCAGTAACTTATGAAACTGATCAAATGCTTTACACAACAATTATCTAAAACTAACTGATTCGAAGAAGACAATCGATGATTACAATTAACTTTCAATGTCAATATGAAACGTATAACAATCGTTATCGTGAAATTATCTTTCGATGTCAATATGAAACGTATAACACTCAAATATTCTTGCTCTTCAGATATCTTTGTTCACTTTTCAAAAGAAATTATAAAAATAATTCAAAAGAATTTATAATAGTACGATTCGATTATTTTTGTGAATCACCATATCAATTTTGAATAGAACAGTATACGTACAAAATTATTTCACTTACTTTATAGGATAATCCGTATCACACAAGATCCACTGATTGAATAAATGCATTGGTTTTCTGCCACATTTATTTTGATGACGTTAAAGATATTTTGGTTCTGATAACATTGACTTAAATTGATAAAATTTATAATACAATGAATACACAGATAAAAATTATAATTGATTTTTCTTAGACAAAAATCAATACGTGAGACATTACATTTTTTTTTGATAATGTTTTTTGATAGGCGTTAGATGATATATAAATAGTGACAAATCTATTTGTATGTAATACATTGAACAAGTTTCACTGATGCTTTCTTCGGCAGATTTAACTGCAAGTAAGAACTTCGATAGAGCTATGCAAAAATACCGTAGATTACCTTCGAAATGCGAGCCAATTAGAACAGTCCAATTATACCGATTTATTATAGTCCACATGCTCTTTTCACTCTTTAGGGTTATTACCTTCGTATTTCGGATCGATAGCGTGGCAATTTACTTGGCCGCTCGGCTAACCTCGGATTTATTACCGTTTCGCACGTACGAGAATTAATGCGCAATTTAACTATGATCAATTACTTCTAATTATAATAATAGGCTGAGATATCGTTATTTCTACAGATAGTTATTGCATTTATTGCAACGAGATGTGTAAAGAAGAATTATATGAAGGAGTATTATCTACGGACTAACAATCGGTTTTCATAGTTTTCTAAGACCATCTTACAATTAGAGAGAACAATCTTTCAAGCTGTCATGAACCAATTACGGAATTGTATTAGTATCTTAACATAATATTTAAGGTCTTGTCAGATGAGAATGATCTATGAATACCGATTTAAAAACACCACATGTTTTCCTACCGAATTTTTAGAATAGAGATTCTGTAAAAAATACACGTTTGATTTCTTTATGTGATTTACAAAGAATATACAATTGGAAGGATATTTGTATTTCACTTTAAATGAGAATACGATATTTGCTACGAGATAAATATTCAAACGAGAGGCCACATATACACCTGCGACAATAACTAAAGGGAAAAATAAAAAATGAAGTGTGTGTGTGTGTGTGTGTGTGTGTGTGTGTGTGTGTGTGTGTGTGTGTGTGTGTGTGTGTGTGTTCGTACAATTGAATTTCTACAATGAAACGTATAGATGCACACAAATACGCATAATATCGATGATTGCATAATTGTTTAATTAAATAAATTCATGAACAGAAAAAATAACCCACTACTGACTAATATCTTTATAGAACGATGTTAATTACGTTTTTTTGCAAATTTCACTGCATTTGTATTTCGTGGAACGCGCGAACGAAGATAAAAGAAAATTATATAAACTTCATACTCGGAGAATAATTCTGTAATAAATGAAATAAGTATCTATTAATGCCATCATATGATTAGCGTTCTGTATTAATTAAATTGAAATGAGTTTTCGTTTGATTATCATGGAAAGTCAGGACGCTGCATATTTGACATTTACTTTTTCTTTGATCAATATCTTGAAATTCCTTTTTTTTTAGATCATAAACTTTTACTTTGATTACCTTATTACGAAGGTACAGTTTTACCAGTAAAACACAAACTTTCTACATTATTGGCAGTATCAATATTAATGTTATGTCAATGATTATTTTTTCGCAAATAGAATTATTGAGATATCCGATAGAAAGAATTTTGACGTTCTTTTTGTACCAATAGAATATATTGAGTGGTGTCATACACATTTTTGCAGTCTTATTAAAAATTAGATATCATAGAAATGATATACACTTTCTCAGGTTCTAAAGACGTGCATATCAGATCATTAGCTTTTTATTAGCAGTAAATTAATGATAAATTTATTTTAAAATTTATATGTTAGGAAATTCTTTTAACATAAAATTTATACACGTGTCATCAGATGGCCAATTATACTTACACGATAAATATCGGTGTGTTTACGCGATGCGGGAGAATAAGGAAATATGGCAGTCGCGAAAGTGCATAGAGCGCAACGACCATCGTTTTCTGCCTCACTCAGCCGCGTCGCTTCTCCGCCCACGAGATTTCTCTAATTGAGCGCGATAAGATCGCCGTCTGGAATCTTATTAACGGCCGCGACGTAACGAACGTCCGTAAAAAGGAACGGTCGGGGGTCGCGCTCGTATAAAATCACGATGTAAAATCACAGTTCCGCGCCGCATTTACATTATAAATGTGCATTGTGCCTTCGGGTTACGCCTATGAGAAACTGATTGACGTAATGTTATCTTCGACAATTGGGAATTAATATTATCGGCATCAACATCCACCGGTGCTTTCCATCCTGGTGTCTTTTCCGAGTTCCGAAGTAGATGTTCGTAACCCGCGAGATTGACGCTGGCGCGAAATCACGGTTCCTCAAACCGTTGCGCGAAAAGTGTATGTTGCATAATTGAGACAAGACGTCAATCGCGCATACGGCTTTATTTGAGCTCTCGCACTTAAAACAAATATAATTAGGACATTGGTACTGTTGGCCAAGTCAGTATACATAAAAAAAAACCTTTTTAAGCGGTTCTCACATTTTGAGAGATAAAAAAATATAGCGCAACAGTTCGATAACGACACTCGTTAACTGTGTTACGTTAGTAGAAAATTCTATGTCATTATGCTCGCTATTAGAGCAATTACAATGTCTGAGAAGGAGCAATCGCGCGCATTTCTTGAATGGTCCCGCCGCTTGTCCGAAGAGGGATTGCGTCACGGTTAATCGAAAACATGCGTGATCACCGTGTGTGCATTTACATATACTTGTATTATATAATCCCGCGTCACGCGGCTGTGCCGAATGTTTATAAACGTAACATGTGCATCCCAGTTTATTCCTATGTATGTGTGTGTGCGCATTTCGCGACCGATCGAAGAAATCTCTCTTCCCTTTTACGCGCGAACTTCCTAGGCTATTAACTATGATTACCTGGCACGCACGTGTTAGATAACTCGGGGGATTTGCTCATCGGCCGACCGCGTGCGTCTCGATCAACGCGTGTAACACACTTTCGCATGCTCGCAAGAAGATAAATCTTATAGTCGAGATGGGCTTCACTCGACGTCTGCCAGTCTCGTCAGAACGATGTTTGCCGGTCCTCACGTTTGTCTAATCGATTACACAGGCGATATTGAACGTGTGTTGCCGTTCCATGACCAATCAATTTTTCGCGACCGTAACAATGCCAATAAAGAGTACACATGGCACGCCTACGACGTATATAAGAGTACCGCGCTCCATCGTTGCGGCATCTAAACGAAAGGCGTACCGTCGCGTCGCTCCCCGTAATTTCGCCAAATTGCTCGCCCGTGCGAGCGATGCATTTCTCGATGCATAGGTATACGTAACAAGCAAGCGTGACGGTCCCCCTTGCAGTGTCCCATGCAAGAGGAGCCGACTTCCTTGAATTTGAAAGATCGCTCGTTGCGCCCGCGCGCCACACAAGTCAGCTTTCAGTTTCTTAGCCTAGTATGCGCGGCGGAAGCGGACACAGCACGCGGAAATGAGTCCAGGGTGTGGTGAAACGACGCGACCGCTATCCGATATCGGGGACGACGACGACGACGAAAGTATAAGGCGTCTCGGGGAAAGGGAGAGGAGAAGCCGCGAGAACGCGATGTCGACGCGATGTTGAATCTCTCTCTCTCTCTCTCTCTCTCTCTCTCTCTCTCTCTCTCGTGGTTCGTGTCTCTCGAGCTCGGGTTTACGCGGTGTAACCGCGTATTAACGAGACATACTATCGTCGAATCACGCCGCCGCCGCCGCTGCCGTAGGATGGGTCGTACGTAAGACGCACGTAGGTGGAGGAACTTGTATAGCCGAGGTACAGGTCTATAACCGTGGGAGTCAATTAGGTCTGCGTCATATTACCACAGAGTTATCCCCTATAGCTATATATGCGTGGACGTATCGTATACATACGGGAAAGTTGTTTTGGAGATGATACAAACCTGGAAACGCACGAAAGCGTCGACGTTATTCACTTGAAGCAATTTTCTATTGGAAAAGAATGCGAGGAAGTCTATTAATTCTAACGATGCCGATTTACGTTCGGAGTAAATAGCTATATCTTGCGTAGAGCTGTCTAATTAGATTAGCGATCAGGTCATTAAATTGAGAAATGCGCAACATCCAAAGATTGCTTACTGCAGCGCAGTCGATTTACCGTCGTTTGCATATAATTTATGCGAATTTTTCAGATATCTCGGAAGCACGAGCATATTTACGTATACGTTCTATCGAGATAAAATATCGATTATTAAATAAAATTATTAAATAAAATGATAGGCTTAGCATTTTGCAATTGATAGGCTGCTTCTGTGATGCATATATACATATATATTGAAAGCATTTATTCGAGCGTTCACATCAATTTACATAAGAAATATTTGCGTGCGTGCGTGGTAGAATGAAAAAAAAAACCACGTATTTCGGAACATGTTACGCATAATTAGACTAAACTCGCGTGTAAAAGCAACTATCTAAAAACATCGATATATCGGTCCATAAATTTTGATACTATCGGACATGGATGTCGTAAATGCATTTGTGCGTGAATATAGCGATTTCGAAATCGACACTGTTTGGCAACAGCCCTTTCCGATTTTTACACACTTCCCACCGCGTCTGCTGCAGGAACGATCGCCGGCGTAGCCCTGAAAAATCAAACGACGCAATTGGCGACTTAATGACTTGATCGCGCCGCCGCGCCGCGCCGCGCCGGGCCGATTCCTTGTGGCGCAAGGCGTGCATACGTCGCGCACGATAGCGCGTGATGCGTGTGTCGAAAGTATGCACTACCCGCGAGATTAATCTCCCAGGGTGAGAGGCGAGAGGATATTCGCGCGGGATATTTACCGCGATTTTCGCACACACTCTGACATTTATGTCTTATATATGTACATATATACGCTTCCCCCCCCCCCGCCCTTCCGCCGGCCGTCCGTTTACTTTTAACGATCTCTATACGAGAGTGACGCGCTTTTTCTATCCGGTACATATATATATGCCGCTTATGGTGAAACAGGTGTACCTCTCTTGGCGCAACTCGCGTAATATCAAGGAGTGAAAGTTCCCTCGCAATTCCTCATAATCGCATAACGTGTCCGGCTAATACGTCTCTCCGCCGCTCTTCCTCTCCGGCCCTCTCTCAACATCATTCGAGCTTGTTTCGTAAGAGCAGTCGTTATGTAAAAAAAAATACTTTATTCATTTTTACATTTACGGGGTGTATAGTACAATTCGGAGGATAGGATCGCGAAGGATTACAGAATTTGCGCATTGTACATTGACTTCTATATACTATAAAAACGGATGTGGGCAGCTTCTGCTGCCGATCGCCCCCCTCGATCCCTCGACGATCGATCCCTCGAATAGATCTCCCGGTCTCCTGGGCCGTGAGTCGTCAAAACAAAAAAAGGGGGAAGACGTTGAGGCCTTCGTTTCTTCTCATGCTTTTCAATTTTTCTCCTCAATAATGTCCGCCGAATCCGCCGAAATCACCGCCGCCAAAGTCGTGGCCGCCGAATCCACCGAAATCACCGCCGCCGAAACCGCCCTCGTCGTGGCCCTTAATGACCACGGGGTAGGGCTCCTTGACGACCACGGGTACCTTGACCGGGTAGGGCACTGGTTTCGACACTTCGACCGGGACCTTGACTGGCACCTTGACCGGGTAGGGCACCTTGATGGGCACCTTTATGGGTACCTTGACCGGGTAGGGCACGTGCTTCTCCACTGTGTAGGGCACGTGTTTCGTGACCTCCACCGGGTACGGTTGCGGCACGTGGACCGGGTACGGACGGTCGACGGGCACTTTGACCGGCACCTTCACCGGGTAGGGCACGTGCTTCGTGACCTCCACCGGATATGGGTGCGGCACCGGCACGTGCTTCGTGACCGTCACCGCCTTGATGTGATCGGTGGAGATTATTTCGCCGTGGCCGCCGCCGAATCCACCGCCGAAACCGCCGTCGAAGCCGCCCCCGAAACCACCGTGATCACCCAGACTCAGCTCCAGTCCGCGCTTCGTCTTTTCATCCTTGGGCTTGGCGCTAGACTCGGTCTTCTTCGCCTCTTCGGCTACGACCGATAATACTAGGCCGCACAGGAGTATCACCTGCCGGAAGCAAGGAAACGAATGAGCGTCATTGATTCTATGAATCGTACGATAAGTGCGCTTGTAGGATTTATGAAGCGTATGTGAGATATGTTTATAGGCCTTGTTGCAGTTTGTTTTGATAATTTTTTACATTAATGCTAACGTTTGCGAAACTTGGCGAAAGATTTTGTATCATCATGCTGCGTTAATTGTTACGGTAATTTATCCGAGATTGGTATTATCACATTTAATCACATAATATGAGCTCTTTATACAATACTTTTCTAATTGCAATATTTCTTTATTAAAAACGTTTCGAAATTAAAAGCATTTATCGTATTTTTAAAAATTACTAGATTTCGAAATATTTTTAAAGAAATTGTTAAATTTAAAAATAAAAAGTTTTAAATAAAACGAAATTATTATAGATAATTTTGCAAGTATATGTATATTTATATTGTATAATTCCATTAAAATTTTTAAATGTGATCTATGTATGACAATTTGGCTTCAAAAGGAAACGAAATATTCAAGAGAAATATTTTTAATAATTTTGAGCTCATATGACATAAAATTCCGCAAGTCAAAATTCGTCTGCGAAGCAATTTCATATTTATTAGGAAACAGACCGTTCGCTTGGAAGTGAGAGACTACGCCTACAACGCGTTGCAGACTCGGCTAACTGCGGATCGCGGTCTACAAGCGATTCGAGCGGCTATCTTATTGGAGCTACTCACTTTCAGCTTGTCGGTGCTGTTCATGTTGGTCGGCAGTGAGCACACTGGTACCGCCATGGTCTACCCTCGCTTTTATAGGGGACGCAACGGCGTGTCCGCTGGGCAACTCGAGCGTGCCGATGAAATTGTCGGCGGGTAGGAAGTTAACAGGAGGAAAGGAAGACAGCGCGCCGTCGTGGACGACGCTTTTCTTCGTCTCCCTTTGTCTCCGCGTCGGTTTTCTCTTTGCTTTTTTTCTTTTCCTTGACCGTCTCGTCGCGTTTTCGAGTTCGTTTAGTTCGAGATAGAAACGCGTTCCTGTAATAAAAATCGAAAAAGATTCGTACTATTTGATACGCTTGCGTGAACTTCTTGCGTAAACTTTGCTCGGCGATGGCAATGCATATGAGTAGACAAAGATAAATATAAATCATTTAAGATATTAAATATCTTTTAATTATAATTAATTAAATTTATTTAATTATTCATTTTAATTATAATTAATTAAATTCATTTTTATTTTAATAATTACTTTATCTATCATCAACTTGAAATGTTATTTACACGAAATCAAATTTATTGTTTGCTAATTTATATATTATATTTTATTAATTTATATATTACTTTTTAACACATAGGATATTTTAACACTTTAACACTTTATAAAAATATTAAATACATAAAATACTTAGAAATTTTTCATGTATATTTTCTTTATGAGAAGAAATTTCTTGCATAATTCTCCATATTTTAATCGAGCTGATTTTACAAATTTTGTCAATACATTTTGTGGTTACGCATTATACAAATCTTAATTGCAAAACGGACTGATACATTTAAAATAAATTACTGCAGTGGTAAACAATATTACAACATATCGATCCTTTATTAATGTGGTTTGATTGATACTCTTCTATGTTCTGTGCTTCCGACAGCTTCATAAATATTAAAAGCTTAATTAATCCGAGAAGGAAGAATTGAAATTTTTCGACAGCAAAAAAGTGTTCTTCTTTTGCTTTCTTTTTCCCTCTCCGCTGTTATACGGATATATGGACGCGTTGAAACATTTGCATTCGGTCTCAACTTGTTCGAATTTAATATACTCGCCTCATTTCCATAGTCATAGCATGTTCAACGTATTATCTCTTTTCTACAGTTTCGTGTGCCGCGACATTTGTCGCCAGGAGGAAGGTAGCCGTCGTCACCGGCCGTGAAATTAAAGAGAATGATTTGAAGACGTCGGCCGTTACTGTCGCCGCGCTTTAATAAGAAGTTGTTGGAACTCGTTAGCGCGACCGGATAAAATTCTTGCATGCCGGAAATGGTTCTTCACCGCGAGCGTGGAATTACCTCGGTCTCGGTCGGTGCAGGATGGCGGCACGATTTTTGGTTTATCACACGTAGCTCCCGCGGGCGCGGTTAATCTCGGAATGACTTTGTACCCCTCGATCTCGGTTCGACGGGTGTTAGAATACCCGCGTATCCATGGTTTATCAGGGTTATCGGTACGAATAAATTTCCATACATCTGAATTTGGATTTCCATATTTGAATCCGAAAATATTGATTTGAGTTCTAGCGGAATAGGAGCGCGTTTCGAGAGGCCGGCCGCGCGTACCCTCCCTCTCCGATTGACCGTCGATCGAACCGCAGCGAAAATCGAGGGGGGGGGGGGCGATGTATGCGATAGTTTCCACTTGACCTATACCCGTGGATTAAATCGTTTTCGATGAATTTATAGTGATTCACTAGAGACCACAATCTGCTCGCGCTGCTGTTTTCCGAAAATCCGACAATCGACGATTTTGGGTGTACCGGCGAAGCATCGGTTCTCTCCCATTTGAGAGTTTTTCTCGAATACAAAGAATGTCCCACGGTAGCGACTTATTAAAAATTGGCGGGTTTGCTACGAAAAATTCGCATTCGAAAGGTTCACTCAAACAGATATATTTATACGTCGAGCATTGAGTGATAATGGAAAAATCTAATGCCGCAGAACGTAATAACGAGCATTAATTAGCTGAAACATCGCTCCTGACTAATCAGTTGCGCGAGCGTGCGTGACGCGACTACCTCTATTAATTTCTGAAGCCGCAAGTCTAATTCATTGAATTCAAAACTAATGACACGCACCGGTGCCGAGAGATGGCTAATTTTCTGCGGTCATTTTTATCCGCTGTACACGCAGTTTTTATGCCGAGCAGCAGCAACACACCTATACAAATCGATCGAAAATTACCGATTGCTGCGCTACAAACTTATTTCAATGTATATTGCACGTCTGCGTAACACATAACAAATTAATGCTACTTATTCATATTATTCATTAACGAATCAATGTTATGTACGTACTAATTATACATTATATGCGCATACAATATTTATATCATTAACATAATTATGTCAATAATAAAAAATGTTATGCTATAGGACTGGATTTGACATACAATCGAGCAATGCTCGATTGAAATGATCTTATTTCGTTCAATTTTGTGCGATTCGCGGACGTTCTTGTTCGTCGCGATGCACAGTGTGTGCAGCCTACGTAACGCTTTAGTGTACAGTTCTTTCGCAGGTTAAACTTCTTTGTGCATTTATTGTGTCATAAGTGGCTTTGCGCAAAATGTTATTACGTTCTGAATTACATGTGCGAGCCGCGCGATTTTAATTGCGAAGTTATTTGCTTCGAAAGTCTTCCTGCAGCAAGAATAAACGCGTCAGGAAACTGTTGAGCCCACTCGCTATATGAATATACCAGATTAAATCTATCGCGGTGAAAACTTCAGCCTAGCTGGTTTTTTTTCCTTTTCCGTTCGAACGATTGTAGTAACATTACGTATACGGAACTTACTTCGCGAAGTAAGCTGGTCGATTATATTTGCCGGATATAATGCAAACGATACGTGCTCGTATTGAAGGTGGCGATCCCGGGTGATCGTGCACTTTCTATACCAATCACCCGATATTTACGGGGGGGCCGCGCAATTATGTAAATTTATTTTTGACAGATCGCACTTCCTCCCCGCAAATACTCGCTCGGGGAGCTTTTTCGCAAAGACCACGAGGACCAGCTTTTGATCTCGTACGCGACGCAAGCGCGAGCTCGTGTGCGACATATGCAGATTAATCCTTTGCACGTGAGCACCTGCGTCTAATGTCAACTTAAATGTCTGCATCTAGTGTACCTTTCCCCTGCCAAAGTTCATTAGAATCGCAGAGTCGACGTCATTAATTTAATCAGCGTGATATTTTTTTTTTTTTTTTCAAGAGATAGTCTCATCTCCGCGTAAACGCAAATTGATTTTGCGGGAAGCCATCTCCGAAGCCATCCTCGCGAGAAGCCGTGTGACGCGAACTTTCAATTGGCGACCCTTATCTCCGCGGAATATTTCTTTTTTTCCTCTCTTTCTTTCTCTTTCTCTCTCTCTCGAAGTTCGAGTTGCTTGAACTTTAGACCGCAGAGAGGGTGGCAACGGTGGCGTATAAATGCACCCTAAGTGCACCAGCGGATTCTCGCGCGCGTTACGAGACGACGAGTGCGGGCGGGCGGGCAGACGGACGGTCGGTCGTCGTCGTCGGCGGCGGCGGCGGCGGGGTTTTCGCGTAGTCTGCATTTCTGCTTCACCGACCGCAAGCGTAACCTTATGCAATAATGGGAAAGGCTTTGGAATCGGCCAGACCGCGGCTCTCATGAATATATGGATAGATGTTCTCGCTCAAGGTGTTTATCAAGCCGTTTTCTAGTTACGTCGTTTTCCGCGACACCATCGCCCATCGAATATACAAACATAATTTGCCCCCTGGAGAGATGAAAGAGAATTTTAGTTTTCCGGACGGACGGTTTTCTTTCGAGATTTAAGTGCGTTCGAAGGTACGCGTGTTCGATTGTACAGGTTCATATTATAAATTTTTACTCTTGCTAGTATTTGATTTATTTTTTATTTTCTTATTTTCACCGCACGTGTAACGATTGATAAACTATGTATACTTTACGCATAGTTAATTTTATGAATATTTACCAATCTTTGGGATATTGCCAAATTTTTGCATTTATTTTAATCATTAAATTACGCGCCAACAGAGGCGTTTACGTATTACTCTCTTAGAAATATGAGATAAGGCGCAATTTAATCATATTAAAATACCCAGGCTGACCATTCAAAATAGAACGCAGGTAACAGCGGCAAAAACCGCTTGCGTAAGTTATGGGCGCTTATAAATGAAATTATAAGTAGGCTAACCTAAAAAGATTGTACTGAATATAAAATGCTTTATTGGGCTGCCAAAGAAACGGTTGAATAAGAAACTGATATTCGACTCTCTCTTTCACTTGTATTTTTATTTTTATTCATCAAACTGGAGCGCTCCAAGATATGTAAATTGCGCATTGAAGACGTAACGTATAATCTTAACGGGGGGTTTTTTTTTAATAATTACTTCGTTCATAAATTAGCTTAGAAAAGAGGAAATTAAATTAATGGTGGAAGCTAACGAAGCGTAAAGATAGATATATAAAATGGGCTATGATTTCAATAATTAACTGGAGAGAAGTGAAGATTACCACATCATATACCGCATCGTATGCAATATAGTTGTTCAATTATCGCGCGCGTTTCATCGGAGAGAGTGAGAGAGAGAGAGAGAGAGAGAGAGAGAGAGAGAGAGAGAGAGAGAGAGAGTTCAATATATTAAATAAAAATTTAACTCGGTTAAATGAATTGGTAATGAGCCTATCCTCATTAAACGAAATCTGTAGTGACCGATGCATTAAATAATCGATACGACTGTTTGCTGAATAATGCAAATGCTCGCAGTGTATTGAAACTTCGCGATGGTCTGCGCGAAATGTAAATATTTATTTGATATACGTATATCGCGCACATCACATCTGGCCTAATAATTATATATGTTCATATCGGTAACATCAGAACGAAACTCCCATAATTGCATATGTATTCCTTGCGTATATAGTAATCGTTTTCAAATAAAATATCACGTGCAAGCGCTGGACCTTTCGCAAAGAGATGTCATCAGAACACGTTTATCTAGAATCACATTGGTTCGCCCAGCTGCCAATAAAATGCCACTTGGGAATGATACAAGTAAAAGTTACGTTTAATATACCAAACTATCCATTGAATCGATTATGAAAGTGATTTTAATAAAAAGTTACTGCGTCAACGACTTAAAGCGGCGCGGTACATGTCTTTATAAGATCTGATAACTGTACATTAAAATCAAAGCATACACAGTGTCAGAGGAAAATGGGAAAAACATTGCCTCCATTTCGACATCGGGTGATTCAGGCGTTACGTTATTATAACGACGCGGTCGATTGCCGGTGGAGACCTTCGATTCCTTTAAAAATGTTACTGGGCGAACAAAAAAAAATATTACTACTAAAACTTGGCGAAAGTGAACGAAAAAGAAAAAAAAAACCCAACACGTTTGCGCCACAATTACCTACGTGTCGAAACGCAAATTTTCATTCGTTGTCTCTTTCATGGTCATCAATTGTGTGTCCCATCGACCGCATTATTGTTCCGCAGGCGTTCGCAATTTCTTCAGCAACTTCCTTCGTGTATTGCGAATTTATTTTTTAATTAAATGACCACCGAGCATAATGCCGGTGGATATATAACGTGCGTGTCAAACACGGAGAAAGTCTAATCGTCACACCGTTTTGTATGTATGTACGCCGTTTCACGCTATGGATTTTGTCACGCTTATGAATCCCTTTAAAATTTACGGCGCCTAGCCGTCGAAATCGAGTATCCCACTCGTAAAGTCGGTCGGCGCGGATTAATTGAGGAAGATTTCGATTTCTGCACGCGTACGCGCTTCTCTCCCGTCCCCTCCCCCCCCAGAAGTGCGGGTATAACGCCGCGGTTTAATTTTCGTGAGAATTACGCGATGCCGAAAAGTTCCTTCCGCTGCGCAGTCGCAGCGGGATTTAATTGCCCGGTGAATAGAGTGTATCGAGGAGTTATGTGTCTCCTGAGTCTCGAACGGCGCTCCGCGAATGCTAGTAAAATGTTTTTCGAAAGTGTACGTTATACGCGCGAACGATCGCGCGCGAGATCGTATAGAATTAAATTTAAGATCGCGGCCGATCGCGCGCTGTCAGATTAATTTGAACGTCCTCCATCATGTTTATCCATCCATTTATGTCTTGGGCGAAAGCACGGGCATTAAAACCTGTTATGTCCGTTACAGCTTCCTCGACTCTTTCGTAATAACTTATAATAAGGCAAAAATATGACAAGTATCAATGGATTTTAAGTAAATTCTACGAAAATATATATTGTACATTTTACCTCCTGTCGTGATTGATAACGGCACTGACATCAACTTACGTATTATTTATTGCCTCGCTTGTACATCGTCGAGTTTCCCAATTGTCTCTATATTCTATGGTGAATATAGCGATGCCGTTGCGTAACGCGCGCAGAGAGCTATACGATCGCCGCGTTATGTCCGATAAAATTTACGCGAGGCGCGAGCAAGATGGAAAAAAGGAACAAGTCCCCCTCCGGCACGCCCGTAACGTTTGTGATGTAGAGGAGGTGAAAGAAAGAAAGAAAGAAAGCGCGGATTAGGACCGGGCATGGACGCGAAAGAGAGTCGGATCAATTCCGGACTCTTGAATCGCGGCTCTTCCTTGGTGAGGGGAAGAGGGGGGGGGGAGGGGAGGGGGCTAGCGATTGGAGGTAGTAGTTGGAAAACGACGGGGCGGCGACGTTACGCGGCCCGTATCCGGGCATCCGGCAGTAATCAACCTCGCACGGGCGGGTAGCCCGTGGGAAAAGCGGCGGCTTAACGCCGAACGGTTTCGCGCGGGATAGCGGCACAATCGGTCCACCTTAAAGCCGGCGTTCCGGCGTTGGACGCGCGCGCGATTTTCCGGGGAGTGGGCCGGCGAGCACGGCGAAAGTGCCGGTATATATGCCGCTGATTGGCGCGATGCAACTTCAGTGTGCACTCCCGAAGGCTACCATGAGCACTTCGCAGGTGAGCTCGCGCTGCTGGCACGGCGGCGCGTACATAGGGCTCTGGTACAAGGGTATCTTTAGGGGTCTCTCTCGCGCGACAGAGGATTATGCACGGAAATCACGGAATTATGCGCGATGTATATGAGAGGAACGCGTCGGGATTTAGTATTGACGGCGTGAGATTATGGTGTTGCGTCTCTCACACCGTCGTATACGCAGTGTTATGTAGAATCGTATAGAGATTAACGGTGTGATGATTCTTTGTTTCTGGTAAAGAGTGAAATATCTCAATAAATTCACATAGAATACAATCACAGATATATTCTATATTGATTATACTTGTATCTCGCAAAATTTATCGATGCTTGATATTTAAGCAGACTATATATCGCTCAACTTCGTTATACATCGTGCCTCTTTGAGATTTTTTTTTATTTGCATCTTTTGCATTGTCAAATCGTTTTACTCTCTGCGTAATATGCTTAGAATTTTTATTAACTCGAACGAGACCTTCAAAGCTGCCCAAGTTAACCAAGCTAATCCAAACCTTGACCATGCGGGACCGCAATTAATACACATTTATATTCGCAGATCCTCGTGCTCCTCGCCCTTGCGGTGACGGTGGCTCTGGCCGGCGACCCCAAGAAGTCCGACAGCAAAGGGGCCGTTGACTCAAAGGATGCCAAGAGCAAGCGCGGACTCGAGCTGAGTCTGGGTCATGGTGGCTTTGGTGGTGGCGGCGGTGGTTTCGGCGGCCACGATTTCGGCGGCTTCGGCGGCGGTGATTTCGGCGGTGGATTCGGCGGCGGCGGCGGCGGTGGCGGCGGCGAGGGAAAAATCTCCGGCATCACGATTCATCGCGAGGTCTCGGTGCCAGTTCCGGTGCCCTACACCGTCGAGAAGAGCGTCCCGGTACCTGTACACGTACCGGTGAAGGTTCCGGTGGACAACCCGATACCGTATCACGTACCGAAACCCTACCCGGTCCCGGTAGAGAAGACTGTACACGTCCCCGTGGAGAAACACATCCCAGTACCGGTCAAGGTGCCCATCAAGGTGCCCGTGAAGGTGCCCGTACCCTATAGCGTACCCTACAAAGTACCCTACCCCGTGCATAAGGAAGTGCCCTACCCGGTCAAGGTTCCGGTCGTCGTTAAGGAATCGTATCCGGTCCTGGTGCACGAGCACGGTCACGGAGGCGGCGGCGGTGGCTTTGGCGGCGGCGACTTCGGCGGCGGATTCGGTGGCGGTCATGAAATCAGCTTCGACCTGCACCATTGACGATAGTCTGACAACAGTCGACATTATTGATCATACATCTCTTGTATATAATGATTACGTTTCTTTTTTTTTTTTACTCTGTGCTGTCTTAGCAGAATAAACATTAAATTATTAAGCTTGGCGTTTTGTAAAAATCCTTTGTCCTTTACGTTTGTTATCTACACGGGAGGGTATTTACTTTTATAGAAGTTGAGCTCTATTTTACGAGCGAAAATGATTTCTCCGAGCGTATTATGTTTTAATCTTAACCGCTCCGCTTGTGTTTCTACAACGGTTTTAACTGCATTGCGCAATCGTAGCGACAAGAAATAAATCATCAATTTAGACGTCTATTCGAGACCGGGTTGTTGAATTTTCTTACGCAATGCACTCGCGAGAAGATATTGCGAGTTATCATAACTGCTGTACGGTTTAAACCGATTCTTATAAGCCATTTCCCGTGAAACTAGGCGGCACATGTTACAATGTGGTTACCAGGCGACATGTGAAAGTATATCTCACTCAACCAGTCATTATGGCTGTTACGGTTCCATACACAAGTCAGATGTACTAGGAAGCTTATTATCTAGTTAAGGATTACATAGTAGAATACTTAAGTGCGTGAAATGATACTTGTTATTTTTTTTTACATATCCATTTAATTATAGGAGCACGAAGTCGCAGATACGCACCTAAGAAACGACTGATAGATTTAAAGATCTCGGAGTGTTCGCTTTCTAATTTCGTCAAAATATTTCGCACATAAATTGTTGTTTTAATTGCATTAAAATACAAATTCTCTCATTTTAATTGTATTAAAACACATAATTTATTTGCGAATCGAGTAATTATAGTATAAATTCGTATTCTAGCGATCGATGTTAAGCGTACGATTGCACAAATCATGTACGGGCATTATATTGTAAAGGTAAAGTCAGATGTACGTCGAGCGTACCGGTCAGGTTTCTTTACCCGAACGTACAAGGTAGATCATTCCACAGTCAAGGTTGCTGGAAGAAATAATATTGAATATTTGCCTCGGGCGATTCATATTCAAGCGCGCACTTATATATAGGAGCGCGCCTATATACAGAGATTGCACGGGTTTCTCGGCGGCGAGGGGAAGCCAGCTATGCGAACGGAAAGAGAGCGCGATTTCCGTAATCTTACTTCCTTGATGGTAACATTTCTCAACGGCCAACTCAACGGAGGCCATCAGCGTTACGTAAATAGATCGATCGATCTTACGTAACTATTATGAAAAGAAAGCAAAGCAGCACCTTTACCTGCATTAGCGAAATCCGTAATGACTATCGAATTTCTGTATTGGCAATCTGTAATAACGTTTCGCTCAGCGAGTTAACTAAGTATCACTTTCATTTATAATCTACGCCATCGCCTGATACACTTTATCTACATGGCACGCAATGCTCTGTTTTCTTTTATATACTTGGCTTCAACTTGGTAATCTCGTAATTCCGCCGTTACATCATTGCCATTTACGAGACTCAACGCTCTGATTATTTTTCAGCACGACGTAAACGAGTAATTGCGATATCTTGTTAGGAATCCGAATATCGACGAACTAATGGCCGACGAATAACTTGTCTCTACCCCCCCCCGAGGCAATCGTTATAACGGCGTATATGGAGATGAATCGGAACCGTAATTTGTCCTTGTTAGAAGCTCTTGTTCTTGAACTTAGCCTCCTCCCTTTACGCGCAATTATTATTACATGCCATCGTTAACGAGGGAGGAAGAAGAAGAGATTCCGTGCCGTAATTCTTCATACGGTAAACAGCGCGCTGCGTATCTCGCGGTATGCGCGTTATGAATTTAATTTACGAGTCTTCATCTCGTTCGTCTCGTGCCTTTTCAAATATCATAGACTCGTAATGAGAGACGACTGGTGTAATTAAGTTCTCAGAGATTTGAGAATGCTGTGATTGTAATAAGCTTAACAGATGATTTAATTAATTAAATTATAATAATTTTAATAGAGGAGACACGACGAAGTACCATAAATAAAATTGTTAGGAACTTTAAGAGTATCTTTGGACTCCGGTTTGGAATGTAATATGGAACCCTTACATCTTTTTTTCTATATTAAATAAAGAAAAAAATGCAACGACAACTGTTAAACCTGAAACAGATTGATAGTAAAGCTGTAACCTTTTGGATGACTGATATACGCCAGTCATCTGGCCTTAGCAAACCCGAGCTTAATCCAGCGCGAGAGAAATATTTTACGAGCGATAAAAAATAAGAACAGAAAGAGAACATGTGTGTGACTTTATTTCCTCTGCGCTGACGTATTTTTCCAAAGAAAAAAAAATGTAATCCATTTTATATTGGAGATATGTCGTTTAATCGATTTAACAGACCAGATATTGTAGAATGTTTGGAGAGGAACGTATGGTTTATTAAAAGAGAAAAACGGAAAAATGCCTTATCTTGCGTCAGAAGAACGCAAGCGCGACAGGAGGCGTCGCGACGTCTCGTCAGTCTAGCGACGTCGTTGTCGCCACGAACATCCGGCGCTTTAAACATCGCCATTTACCCTCACGGTTCGTTAGCTACGCGTCGCTCGCATTGGGATGGGATTGTTAGTAAAACAGATATAGAGCTTCCAATTCGATATTGTTTTTTTCGCGTAAGATATCGATTGCAAAAACTTTAATTTTGTTGTTACTCGTGAAACAAAAATCGACGTGCAAAGCGCGTTAAAGTAAGGCAAATTCATCCCAAGATTTCAGTATACACGCATGTTAACATGAAATAATAATATTACAACGCAGAGGAATATACCAAGATCATATATTGTTATACTTCCTCTTCGTTATATTTCTTTATGGGGCTGGCGAGAGAAATGTTATTCTTACATTTCCTGCTCGCCGCGTGTGTAGCTGTCTGTAATGGAGATTTGTTTATTTTATAGCAACGTGAAATCTACTCGTACAGCATGCACCTTCAAGAGACGTCCTAAAGACGCCCTACGCGATCTAAGAACGTTTTCAGGACGACTCCGGGATGGTCCTCGGATGAAGCGTGCTGTTTGAGATAATGAGAAAACACGTGATTGTGATTCATTAATCTGCCATGATTTTTTTTTACTTTAAAATAGCGAATTATTATCCATAGATATAGAAAGAGTCTATTTTGACGTGAATTAAATGATAAATATAAGAGAGATGATTTGACTGACAATAATTTTTTGAACGAAAGATCTTGCTCTCCTTTTATGTCTCTATCTTAAATTTTACTACTTTGCAATCTTGAACAATTAGCAATTTTCTGTATTGTAAAGGTAGACCTATAAGACACTATAGTGCTATTTTGCAGTCTTCGCAGCGCCCTGATACGTAAATGTGAGTCACGTGGATCAGAGTGCTGTACCTGCCTATTCCCTCCATGTACTGCCAACGTGCTGCGAAATAACGTAGCCTTTGCAATACGGAGTGTACGGTGTCGTATGTCGCAATCTCTTTAAGTGAAACCATACAAGGAATCAGCGATCAAATTAACGTACATTTCGTTAGGCATGCATTGAGGTAGATGCGCTTTAAATGTAGTCTAAGAGCAGAACGACCGAGATAATACCGGGAGATGAAATAATGAATTTGAGAGATAAAGGTATTATTATTCGAAAGAGATATAAGCATATTATGATATTCAAATTATAAAATAGAACATAATATAATATAGAAATTATCACAAATATTTTTAAAGAGATTCTTTTGAAACAGAGAATATAGACTTAATTTTCACTTGTGGTATCTAGTCAAGTCATATAATGACTTGTAGGAAGGTGTACATTAATATTATTAGGCAAAACACGTGTTACATAGTTAAACACATAGTATACGTATAGTATAACATTTTCCCTGTATCGTTATGTCAGCGAATGCTCGGAGCGTTTTAACGTTACCTTTATTTTGATGACACAGTCTTAAAATAACGTCTATGTTTTATTTTAAGCTCGCGTTCATGTATAGCGTCGTAAATCAGGGAACATGATCTCTCTCGTACAGTTTTACCTTCATTTTTCATGATATTCCGCGTTTCAGAACAGATGCTCTATTATCGTGAGACTGTCCATTTTCTTTCGTTTTTCGTAGGATACGCTTATACAACGACAATGGTAATCAGATAAATCTTATAACAATTTATATAAAAATATAAATTTATTTACTTCTTATTTCCTATTAAAAGAGACATTTACATATCTGTCTTAAATGAGATTAATATCTATCTTAATAACTAGTTATTAAATACAATTTTTAAATTTATTATTACTATTTTTTGTTATTTACATTTACATAAAATAATATTTGAAATTTTTATATAGGCACAGCAATATTGTTATTATGTAATATATGTGTGAGAAAGAGAGAGAGTATACAGTTAACTAATTGCAAGCTGAATAAATCTGAAATGAAATTTTGTTCTCAAGCACGACAATTTCTTGTTGTACATACGATTTTAATTAATCATTAATTAATTTACAAATAATTAATCATTAATTAATTGACAACTAATTAATTCTTAATTAATTGTCAATTTGCTGTTGAGCAAAATCTAATTGTTTGCGATATATTATTTATGATACAATCTATTATCAATTGTTTCTACTGTCTTATTGAAGGACTTTAATTATTAGCTAATTACCAATATAAATGTAAACTTCAGACTGATTTATTCATATAGGATCGAGCAGTAGAAGAAATATCCTCGCTAACTTACAAGACATTCTTGACGGATTCCCGAATTAGCAAAGTTTCCTTTAATCTCGTCGTATTCCTTTATGACGTTCGTGCAGCTGCTGCACCGACCTGCCTACCTACCCGACATGAGATGCGTTCCTTCTTTTTCCCCCGCGCTGTAACTTCGTCTGTTGTTGCCGGTAGCGAAGAGAAAGGTGCGCCGGGAAAAAAAGAAATAATGGTACAGCGAGTGTTGAAGCCCGATCGATTTGAAATCGGCGCTGTTCACTGAGGTCGCGCTCCGCGCCTCCTTTCGCTCTTCCTCCTTCCTCTTATCGCGGCTAATACGACTGGGAAGTCTGCTTTAAAGCAGGCCGTTCCGCCGTACGATAAACGGGTCTGTTTACATAACTATAATAGTGCAATTATTACG